TGTTTTTAAAATGTTATCTAATTTTAGGTTCTATTTAATTGGGTTAAAAACTATGTTATAATAATAATTTTAATTAGCAATTTTATGATGTTTGTGTATCTATATTTTTCTTGACTGTACACCGCCTTGAGTCCTACGGGAGAAAGGTGGTATAGAAATATAATTAATTAATTAATTAATTAATTAATTAATTAATTAATTAATTAATTAATAAACCTATTCTCCAAAGCACCCGAAGGCAGGACAAGAAGCAATGGGTGGAAACTAATCAAGGAGAGAAGCAACCTGGAACTAAGGAGGGATCTAGGATGGTGGGAATCCTGGAATTCAACCTCAAATTAAGGAGAAACTTATTAATAGCGAGAATAATTAACCAGTGGAACTGCTTGCCACCAGAAGTTATGGGTGCTCCATCACTGGAAGCTTTCAAGAAAAGATTGGACAATCACTTGTCTGAAATGGTAGAGGGTTTCCAGCTTGAAGGATTGGACTGGCAAACTCTGTTATTCTGTTAGCCTGACATGGGCTAGCAAGATTGAAAGTTCTTATCCATATCGGTAGTCTTCGACTTGCGACCACAATGGAGGCCAACATTTCCGTCGCTAAGTGAGTTTTGCCCCATTTTACGACCTTTCTTGCCCCAGTTGTTAAGTGGATCCCTCCAGTTGTTAAATTAGGAACACCGTCCTTAAGTGAATCCGGCTTCCCCCTTGACTTGGCTCGTCACTGCAGCCAGTGACATAAATGTGAGCCAGTCGCCAAGCATGGGGGAAGAAGGAGGGAGAATTTTGATCACGTGATTGTGGGGTTGCTGCAACGGTCGTTAAGTGTGAAAAACGATCATCCCTGCCCTTTTTACACTGCCGCTGTAACTTTGAACGGTCACTAAGTGAGCTTAAATGAATTAAATTAAATAAGGTCGAGTGACTTACCACACTGCCCAAAAGGATAAATAGGGAGGAAAATTGCGAGGCGATTTTTCAAATTGCTTTGAAAAAGAAAAAGTAGCAACTAATAACGGTGCCACGGTCGTAAGTGTGAAAAAGCCACTTTTGTCAGTGCTGTTTGAGCAGTCAATAAATGAATGGTTGTAAGTTGAGGACCGCCTGGATGGCATCCGTCTCAAGATGGGAACTTTGTGGAAAACGAACACTTTCTAGCGTGGCGAACGTCAATCTCGCTTTTCGGTCCCCGCTTCGAAATGTCCTCGTTTCACGAAACTCTGGCTGACTGAAAATTAAACTTGATTGTACGCCGCTAAAAGAAAACTGCGCGTTTTATTCTCCTCTATTCTCGCCTTCCTTTTCATCTATTATCCAGCCTGTGTCGAATTTTATATTCTAATTTTTCAGAAGAGAGGAAAAAAAAAATTATGCCCTCTTGGACTCCATAACATTCTCTGCACACTGATAGCTCTCTGGATCTTCTCCGCTGAATAAATATTTTGGCAGCTTCTTCCATTTTTTTTTTAAAAAAGCGAGATGTAAATCCATCCTGGATTTACAACTACACTCCTTTAGTGACCGTACGGAGTTACAAGGGCACTGAAAAAGCGGTTTGGGATTGTGCTTCACACTTACGACCGTTGCAGCCTACGCCATGGTCAGGTGATCGAAATTCAGATGCTTGGCAATTGGCTCGTACTTATGACGGTTGCGGTGCCGTGGGCTCACCTGATCCCATTTTGCGACCTTCTGACCAGCAAAGTCAACAGGGGAGCCAGATTCACTTAACAACCGGGTGACTAAGTTAACCGAGTGCAGTGATTCACTGAACGACTGTGGAGAGAAAGGCAGTAAAATGTGGCAACACTGGCATTAAGTCTCACTTAGCAATGGTAATTTTGGGCTCAATTGTGGAAGGGAGGGGGAGGGAGGAATACAATGGATGGATGGATGGATAGGGAAGGAAGGAAGGAGGGAGGGAGGGAGGGAGGGAAGAGAATGGATGGTTGGATGGATAGGGTAGGTAGGAAAGAAGGAAGGAAGGAAGGAAGGAATACAATGAATGGATGGAAAAGGAGGAAAGGAAGGAAGGAGGGAGGGAAGAGAATGGATGGATGGATGGATGGATGGATAGGGAGGAAGGAAGGAAGGAAGGAAGGAAGGAAGGAAGGAAGGAAGGAAGGAAGGAATACAGTGGATGGTTGGATGGATAGGGAGGGAAGGAAGGAAGGAGGGAAGAGGATGGATGGATGGATGGATAGATGGATGGATGGATAGCGTGGGTAGGAGGGAGGGAGGGAAGGAAGACAATGGAGAGAAGAAGGAAAGGAAGGAGGGAGGGAGAAAAAGAAAAGGAGAGGGAGGGAGGGAGGATGAATGGATGGAAGGGAGGGAAGGGAGGGAAGGAGCGGAGGGAGGGAGGGAAGAAGGAATAAAAGAGGAAGGGAGGGAGGGAGAATGAGGGAGGGAGGGAGGGAGGGAGGAACAAGAAAAGGAGAAAAAGGAAAGGAAGGAGGGATGGAGGAAAAAGAAAAGGAGAGGAAGGAAGGAAGGATGGATGGATGGAAGGAAGGAAGGGAGGGAGGAGTGAAGGAGTGGAGGGAGGGAGGAAGGAATCAAAGAGGAAAGAAGGAAGGAAGGAAGGAAGGAAGGAAGGAAGGAAGGAAGGAAGGAAAAGGAAGGAAGGAAGGAAGGAAGGTTGAGAAACACTGCTCTATCCAGATCAGAGCAACTGCGTGCACCACACAGTTTGGCTAGGTGGGAAAGATCTTGTTATTTATGTAATAAACATCAGCAAAGATCAAAAGAAGAGAGATTAAAGAGCATGCAAAATAAAAGAGAGGTTATATATCTCCCTGCACCTTTGTATCTATTTAACATCTATCAAAACAACACAAAACCTTCCTAGGCTGCTGGAACCAAACCTGTGAGAAATTAGCACATTGAGCTCCTAACAGAGTGTGTCAAATAGCCGCACAGAGATGGAAAGTAGGACACCAAGTGATCCTTCTCCTACTCTGCACCGTGCAGGAAATAATCGGGAGGGCAGGGACCCCTTATCCAAGATCCAGAAGTGAGATTCTCTAGACTGGAGCACCAAAAAAAGAAAAGCTTCATAAAAAAAGATGTTAGCCTTTCTCTCTCTCTCTCTGGCCCTTGGGTATTCGGTTACTTTCTTTTAAATGATATGTAGTATTTTTTTTTTGTATAATAGTAAAAACCGGTTGATTTACAGTGGCACTAGCAGTTCTCTCTGGGTTTCTTCTGTCTGTGGCAACCGTCTGAAGCAATCTGCATTTATTTGAACAATTATAGATTTTTCCCCCCACTGCTCGGGAAGAGAGATATATCATGTATGCGCATTTTACTGCCTCGGAAAACAAGGGATGGTTAAATAGTTTATTGTTCAAAACAGCTCCGACCCAGGTTGAGTGAGAGAGCCAGCAGAGAGGGGAGGAGAGATAAAAGAGGAAAAGGGGAGGGAGAAGAGGAGAGGAGAGGTTAGGAGAGGGGAGGAGAGGAAGGGAGAGGAAGGGGATATGGGAGGAAGGAAGGAAGGAGAGAATGAGGAGGAATGGAAAAGAAGGGAAGGAGAGAGGGGAAGGGGAAGGGGAGGAGGGTGGGAGGGAGGGAGGGAGGAAGGAAGGAAAGAAAGAATGAGGGAGGAATGGAACAGAAGAGGGAGGGGGAGGGGGAGGGGAGGGGGAGGAGGGAGGGAGGAGAGAGAATGAGGGAGGAATGGAAGAGAAGGGAAGGGAAGGGAAGAGGGAGGGAGGGAGAGAGGGGAAGGAGGAGGGAGGGAGGAAAGGATGAGGGAGGAAGGGAAGGGGAGGGAAGGAGAGAGAGGGGAAGGGGAGGGGGGGAGGGAGGGAGGAAGGAAGAAGAGAATGAGGGAGGAATGGAAGAGAAGGGAAGGAGGGAGGGGGAATGGGAGGAGAAGGAAGGAAGGAAGGAAGGAAGGAAGGAAGAGGAAGGAAGGAAGGAAGGAAGGAAGGAAGGAAGGAAGGAAGGAAGGGTAATAAATTCTTTTAGAAAGCTTTTTTTCAAAATTGATCACTTTGGACCCTCCCCAAAATCTCCCCCCTCTCTTCAGCTGCCTACCAAGACTGGTGTCAATCTTGGAGGACAGAAATACCTCCATGCACAGTATGAAGTCAAGGAATGGATTAATTCAGGAACCAAGGGAAGATCCTGGCTAAAACCTGAGCCATGAACTCATGAGAGGGCTCAAGACGCAAAATCTTCCAAGGGTGTGGACTTCAAATCCCAGAATCCCACCGAATTCTGGGAGTTGAAGTCCACCCATCTTAAAACTTGCTGGCTGGGGAATTCTGGGAGTTGAAATCCATTCATCTTAAAGCTTGCTGGCTGGGGGATTCTGGGAGTCCACTAATCTTAAACTTTGCTGGCTGGGGGATTCTGGGAGTTGAAATCCATTCATCTTAAAGCTTGGTGGCTGGAGGATTCTGGGAGTTGAAGTCCACCCATCTTAAAACTTGCTGGCTGGGGGATTCTGGGAGTTGAAATCCATTCATCTTAAAGCTTGGTGGCTGGGGGATTCTGGGAGTTGAAGTCCATTCATCTTAAAGCTTGGTGGCTGGGGGATTCTGGGAGTTGAAGTCCACCCATCTTAAAGCTTGCTGGCTGGGGGATTCTGGGAGTTGAAGCCCACCCATCTTAAAGCTTGCTGGCTGGGGGATTCTGGGAGTTCAAGTCCACTCATCTTAAAGCTTGGTGGCTGGGGGATTCTGGGAGTTGAAGTCCTCCATCTCCCAGCTGCCAGCTTTGAAACACACTGTCCTACGTGGAGAACGTCTCAAAAGCGTTTGAAATCCGCCCAAAGTAGACAAGAGCCTGGGGGGTGGGCTTTCCTGTGTCCCCTTCATGCTTTCTGCATTTCAGCTGCCCTTGCGATCTGCTTTTAATTGGGCTTCACTTCTCGAAGAGGCCCCAGGCGGTTCTCTCGGAGCCCTGGAGCAAAGGGTCAGGTTTTATTAATTCATGTAGTAAATAATATGCAGAATAAAAGCAATGGCATTATGTTCTTCCCTAGGCATGAACGTCATGGAAAGCTCTCCGTACGAGCCTTTTGTCAGAGGGTTTGACTATGTCCGACTGGCATCCATCACGGCAGGTAAGGTGTGAAAATCATATTGAGCCATATTGTTGCAATCTGGCGGAATTAAGAAACCCCTTTTAATTTATGTATTGTTAGGTATTCTTTATCTTACCTTACTTACTTTTGAAAGTAACTCAAGGTGGCAAACATAACCTCCTCCTTTTCTTCCCATAACAACAACCCTGTGAGGTGGATTGGGCTAACAGATGGGGGTGGGAGTGGCCCAAAGTCACCCAGTTGGCTTTCATGCCTAAGGAGGTACTAGAACTCACCGTCTCCTGGTGATTGGCCCAAAGTCATCCAGCCAGCTTTCATGCCTAAAGCGGGACTAGAACTCACAATCTCCTGGTTATCGGCCCAAAGTCACCCAATGACTTTTATACCTAAGGTAGAATTAGAACTCACCATCTCCTGTTGATTGGCCTAAAGACACCCAGTCTCCTTTCATGCCTAAAGTGGAACTAGAACTCACCATCTCCTGTTGATTGGCCCAAAGTCACCCAGCCAGCTTCCATGCCTAAGGAGGGACTAGAACTCACCATCTCCTGGTGATTGGTCCAAAGTCAATCCAGACAACTTTCATGCCTAAAGTAGGACTAGAACTCACAGACTCCTGATGATTGGCCCAAAGACACCCAGTCTTTTTTATTCCTAAGGTGGAACTAGAACTTACCATCTCCTGGTGATTGGCCCAATGTCACCCAGCCTTCTTTCATGCCTAAGGTGGAACTAGAATTCACAGTCTCCTGTTGATTGGCTCAAAGTCATCCAGTCTTCTTTCATGCCTAAGGTGGAACTAGAACTCACCATCCCCTGGTGATTGGCCCAAAGTCACCCAGTGACTTTCTTTCACGTTTAAGGCAAGATTCTAGAACTCACCCCCTCCTGCTTTCTACCCTGCTGCCTTAACCACTAGGCCAGACTGACTCTTTTCTAGTCCCTCTGTACAAAAGAGGCATTCGGCACATGCTCAGGGCAGCCAAACTCTTTTCCGTTTCCTGAGATCTTTGCTAAGCTGGTTATCCGGGGAACATTGTTAGCCCCGGGGAGCGTTTTCCCAAAGGCCGGCTCGGTCTCCCTTGCGCCTGGCCGACAGAGACGGACAGCTCCAGCCGCTTCTACGAGAACACATCATATGTTCTGCAAGGGCCCTAATTAGGAATGCCATTATGCTCGGTAATTGGCCGATCAATCCTGGTTTCCCGCTTTCCACTTGCCGAGTGGGGTTCAAGGTTACCGAGGCCCGGGGAAATGGATTCACCACATGCTCCATTAGACAATCCCATCAGAGGGAGGTCGCCCAGCCGAGGCGGCCTGAACTCCGCCAGAGAGACTCGAGCAGAAAGTATCACTTGGCGGTCTGTAGGGGTTGTTTCTCAACTACGGCAAATTTAAAATGAGGGGGGGACTTCAACTCCCAGAATTCCCCAGCCAGCAAAGGAATTCTGGGAGTTGAAGTCCACCCATCTTAAAGCTTGGAGGCTGGGGGATTCTGGGAGTTGAAGTCCTCCCATCTTAAAGCATGACGGATGAGGGATTCTGGGATTTGAAGTCCATGCATCTTAAAGCTTGCTGGCTGGGGGATTGTGGGAGTTGAAGTCCTCCCCATCTTAAAGCTTGGAGGCTGGGGGATTCTGGGAGTTGCAATCCTCCCATCTTAAAGCTTGCTGGCTGGGGGATTCTGGGAGTTGAAGTCCTCCCATCTTAAAGCATGACGGATGAGGGATTCTGGGAATTGAAGTCCACTAATCTTAAAGCTTGCTGACTGGGGAATTCTGGGAGTTGAAAAATGGTCATAAGTCACTTTTCTCGACTGTTTGTTGTAAATTCAAACGGTCAACCAATGAATGGTTGTAAGTCGAGGACTATCTACCGTGTTTCCCCGAAAATAAGACCCTGTCTTATATTTTTTTTGAACCCCGAAATAAGCACTTGGCCTTATTTTCAGAGAGGTCTTATTATTTTGGGGCGCATGGAGGAAACCAGAAGAAATGGCGGGGGACCCGCTGTGCATGTGTTTAAATATTTTCGGGGAGGGCTTATTTTCAGCAGGGGCTTATTTTACGGCATACGCTCAAAAGCCCGATTGGGCTTATTATCAGGGGAGGTCTTATTTTCAGGGAAACAGGGTATATATATATCACTGAACTGGCTCCGTTCACTTCCATGGAGACAGTTCGGAGTTTCTGGCCATCTTTAGGCCCGAGAAGAAGAAAGAAAATGAAACAGGGACACGATCGCTCTCCTAAAAGTTTTGAAAACTGAGGGTCTCCGGGGAGGCGGCCACAACAACGAAGAAGGGGTTTGTGGCTGCCCAAATTCACTTCTTGATATTTGTGACAGTCGCACATTCACCCCTGTGGGAACTTAAGTCTTGACTGGCTGTCACAGAACCGGAGATTTCCATGACAGGAAGTCAAATGCCGGCTGAGTGTCGGAGAAACGTCCCCTGAGAGAAAATGGCGGGGATCCTAAGAGAGGTTAAACCATAACTTGGTCTGGGGTTTTTTTTCATTGCAATGTCTCTGGAGATTCTCCGTCGTCCAGATCCTGGTTGTCCCGAAGGTCCTTTTTTTTCAAGAGGCAACTGGACTTTCTGGTTTATTTCGAAGACGTTTCGCTTCTCATCGCAGAAGCTTCTTCAACTCTACAGAAGCTTCCTGGATGAGAAGGGAAACGTCTTCAAAGAAAAAAAAGAAACCAGAAAGTCCAGTTGCCTCTTGAAAAAAAAGAAAAAAAAAAGAGCCTTTGGGATTTCCACTGCAATGCCTACCCTGAGCAGGAGGGGGGTTGGTCTGGATGACCTCACGGGTCCCTTCCCTCGCAGAATGACATGCAATAGCCTCCATGGTGTCTTTCCGCTCTGCAGGCTCCGAGAACGAGGTCACGCAGGTGAACCGCTGCCTGGATGCCGCCAAAGCCTGTAACGTGGACGAGCTGTGCCAGCGACTCCGGACCGAGTACGTTTCCTCCTGTATCCGTCGGGGGCCCCGGGCGGACCCTTGCAACCGCTCCAAGTGCCACAAGGCGCTGCGGAAGTTCTTTGACCGGGTGCCGCCCGAGTACACGCATGAGCTCCTGTTCTGTCCCTGCCTCGACACGGCCTGTGCTGAGAGACGCCGGCAGACGATTGTGCCCACCTGCTCCTACGAAGCCAAGGAGAAGCCGAATTGTTTGACGCCGCTGGACGCCTGCCGGGGAAACTACGTTTGCAGGTACCAAAGCTTCCCTACCCTAGCTCAGCTCCAGCATGCATGATTTTCTGCCCTTCTGGGCCCTCCAGAAGTCAGGAAACGGGCTGTTCCCAGCCTCCAGAGGGCCTCCAGGGAGGTGGGGAAGGCAGTTTTCGCCCTCCCCAGGCGCCAAGAAAAGCCTCTGGAGCCTGGGGAGGGCAAAAAACAGGCCTTCCGGGCCACCGGAAGTCGGGAAACAGGTCGTTTCCAGCCTCTGGAGGGCCTCTGGGGGGGTGGGGAAGCCGATTTCACCCTCCCCAGGCTCCAAGAAAGCCTTGGGAGGACGAAAAACGGGCCTACCGGGCCCACTGTACCATCAGCGTGCGCCCAGGCAGCGAACTGGCGGTAACAAAATGTAAAACCCACCGCACCGCTGCATGTCTTTATCACATCCCTGTTTCGGCGAACGCCAAATGTGTCTTCTGTCCCGATAAAAAACGAGGCTCTTTCGCCGCGAGGCTCCTTCTGCGGCACAGGGAGTCCTCGACTTACGGCCACGTTCATTACATTTAAGTCAAGCTACAGATAAAGGAGCCTTACACGGGAACAGAGGTTCATTCTGTAATCAGGGTTTACCTCTCTTCCAAACTGCGTTGGTTGCCGATTTATTTCCGGGTCCGATTTCCAGCCTTCAAAGCCCTACCTGGCTTGGAAGCAGGTAAGTTGAAGGCCCGTCTTTTCCCAATTACACGTCCCCAACCTACCAGGACAGGAAGGCCAGGGATGTTATCTCTCTTAAGGAGCTCCATCTAGTGCAGTGTTTCTCAACCTTGGAAGCTTGAAGATGGGTGGACTTCAACTCCCAGAATCCCCCAGCCAGCGGCACTCAGACAAAACGGCCATCAACGGGCACATAGAGATGGACCACATTTACACACCATTCAAAAGAGACAATCCAAAAGCTAAAAGATCACTGCACTTCCTGGCCAGAAATAAAATACCCACAAGAGCAGAGATTAACACAGTGTTTCTCAACCTTGGAAGCTTGAAGATGGGTGGACTTCAACTCCCAGAATCCCCCTTGGCTTTAAGGCTTGTGAACTTCAACTCCCAGAATTCTCCAGCCTGCTATGCTATGCTATGCTGGCTGAAGAATTCTGGGAGTTGAAGTCCACAAGTCTTAAAGCCGCCAAGTTCGAGGACCTCTGCCTTAAAACCATTGTTTCTCAGCCTGGGAGATATTTTAAGCGTTGCTGACTGGGGAATTCTGGGAGTTGAAGTCCACATGACTTCCGGGAGCTGCCATCAGCCCAAATGGTCGACGCAGATTACAGCAAGGAGCACCTTGTGTCCCCCTTTTCCATCTCTCTTCTTCTCCCGGCCATGCTTCCCAGTGGCTCTAGTCTAGCAAGTTTTGCCTCCTTTTGATAAGTGTAAATAGAAATATAAATAATGTAAAATTCTGTTGTTCGCATCTCTCTCTGCCTCTGGGCTTTAGCATGCCTTTCATCCCTTTTTTCGCTTGTTAACTGTTTTGATCTTGGCTGATGTTTAATAAATAAATGAAGACTGGGTTTTTTTTTTTTTAATCCTTGCTGAGTTGAGTGGCAGGTGTGCATGCTCTGATAGGGAAAGAGAAGAGATTAGGAATGTCCTGGTTGCAAACTAAGGTGGAAATCACCCACTGCAGTTCTATATCTGTCTGTCTCTGTCTCTCCGTCATCTTTCTTTTTTCTTTCTTTCTTTCTTTTTCTTTCTGTCTGTCTGTCTAGCTATCTATCATCTATTTATATATCTATATATCTGTCTGTCTGCCTATATCTATCTACCTATCTCTGTCCATATCTCTCCCTCTCTCTCTCCTATATCTACCGCTATCCATCCATCATCTATCTATCTATCTATCTATCTATCTATCTATCTATCTATCTATCTATCTGTATATGTCTGTCTGTCTATCTATCTATCTATCTATCTATCTATCTATCTATATCTGTCTGTCTATCAATATCTATCTATCATCTATCAATATTCTATTTATATCTTCAATATCTATCATCTCCTTCCCTCCCTTTCTTTCTGTTTCTTTCTTTCTTTCTCTTTCTTTTTTCTTTCTTTCCTTATCTTTATGCCTGCCTGCCTGTCAGTTCATCTATCTATCTATCTATCTATCTATCTATCTATCTATCTATCTATCTATCTGTTCCATATTTATCATCTCTGTCCCTCCCTCCCTCCCTCCCTTTCTTTCTTTTCTATCTTTATCTATCTATCTCTATCTCTCTATCAACTATCTTTTATTATCTATCTGTCATCTATCTTCTATCTACCCATCTCTATCTATCCATCCGTCTCTCTATATCTGTCTGTCTCTATCCTCTATCTATTTAACTACCTGTTTCTACCTATTTCTATCTATTTATCTCTTGCCTCTCTCACGCCATATCTATCTATCATCTATCTATCTATCTATCTATCTATCTCTATTGATATCTATCTATCTATCTATCTATCTATCTATCTATCTATCTATATCCTATTTATATCTTCTATATCTCCCTCCATCCCTCCCTTTCTTTCTGTTTCTGTTTCTTTTTTCTTTCTTTCCTTCTCTTTCTGCCTGCCTGCCTGCCTGTCAGTTCATCCATCCATCCATCCATCTATCTATCTCTTCCATATCTATCATCTCTGTCCCTTCCTCCCTCCCTTTCTTTCTCTGTCTTTTCTTTCTCTATCTATCTATCTATCTATCTATCTATCTATCTATCTATCTATCTATCTATCTATCTCTATCAACTATCTTCTATTATCTATCATCTATTTACACATCTCTATCCATCTGTCTCTATATCTGTCTGTCTCTATCCTCTATCTATTTAACTACCTATTTCTACCTATCTCTATCTATTTTCTCTTACCTCTCTCACACCATCTATCTATCTATCTATCTATCTATCTATCTATCTTTCTTTCTTTCTTTCTTTCTTTCTTTCATCCATCTATCCTCCTCCATTCCTCCATTCAATCCTCTATCCATTCCTCTATCCATCCATCCATCCAGCTATCAATTTTTTCCTCTCTTGGGCTCCCACGTTTTCCATCCCTCCTTTTCGTATCCTGCCAACTAGGAACAGAAGCTCCTCCTCTGCCCCCCCCACCCACCCTTAACGGCACCCCATTTGCACCCCTTCCTCCTCTCTCCTAGGTCTCGTTATGCCGAGTTCCAAGTCAACTGCCAGCCTTCTGGGCTCCTCTCGGGAACCGGATGCCAGAAAGAGAACTACGCCGCCTGTCTGTTGGCCTACACCGGCATCATCGGTAGGGAATCTGAGGTTTATTTATTTTTTTTCAATGCTATCAAGAATGACGGGCAAGGGGAATTTTGCATTGATGTAGTTAATTTAATGCATCCAGTTGCTCATTGTACAATCCTGACTTCTGAAAATCATTGGTCTATTGGCATGTGTTGTGGCCTGTCAGCGGTCAGCGGATCTGGCAGCAGATTCGGACAGTGAGGAGGTTGGGGAGGAACATGGACCAGTCCTGGAGCCTGGGGAGGGCTCTGATGAGAGCTCTGCGTCGGAGGCAGAGAGGGGGCCAGGACTGTCTGACAGTTATCAGCTGCTTTCGGAGTCGGATATCAGTGAGGCAGAGGAACAGCTGGGGCCTGTTCCCAGTGTGCACATTCACAGAGTGGCCAGACGAAGGGAACAGCTAAAGAACAAGGGTCGACTTGGGAGTAAGGCCACAGGTGGACAATGAATGGCCTCTCCCAGAGGGAATAAAAGAGGAGCGACAGGGGAGTGGAGTTTGCAGGAGGCAGTTTCATTCATTCCTGCATTCTTGCCAAGTATTGCGGCGTCTGAAAGATATCGGCCTGGCCACTCTCCAAGCCTGATAACGGTTGGTAATTGTGAACGATCTTGAAAGACTGTGGGAGAGGAAAGACTTTGCTGGAGAGGAATTCACTGTCAATGAAATCGAAGGGGTTTATCGGGACGAGGGCTCGGCTTTGCGCTGCTGTGGAAGCCTTGCTCAGAACAGCACGCTGCTTTTCTGATCCCCAGAAGCAGCGTCCAGTGGCAGGCTGGGCAAATGGACAAGTTGACGGACACGGCTCGCGATGCATCCAGTATGTTGCCCATTCGGACAAACGCTTCTGTAGAGGTTCCTAATCTCAAGAGAAGCCTCCAGGAGGAAAATCCCCCTCCCAGGACATTATTTTCACGATCCTTGAGAAATTCCTGGGAAACCTCTCTCAACTCTACAAGTGTAAGACCACACGTGGAATATTGAATCCAGTTTTGGTCGCCACGATGTAAAAAAGATGTTGAGACTCTAGAAAGAGTGCAGAGAAGAGCAGGAAAGAGGATTAGGGGACTGGAGGCTAAAACATAGGAAGAACGGTTGCAGGAACTGGGCATGTCTCGTGTAATGAAAAGAAGGACTAGGGGAGACATGATAGCAGTCTTCCAATATCTCAGGGGCTGCCCCAAAAGAAGAGGGAGTCAAGCTATTCTCCAAAGCCCCTGAGGGCAGGACAAGAAGCAACTCATCAAGGAGAGAAGCAACTTAGAACTTAGAATCATACTCAAAGTTGAGTATGATTGGTATGAGATTTTACGTTTATTTTAGTCCCCTACTGTCTCAATCTTGCTCGTCTTTCCTTCTTCTTTTCACCAGTGATAATGAGGACTGGGAACTTGCTAAGATGAATAGCTGAATGCCAGAGAGGTCTGGAATCATATAGGAAGGTGTTTTGTGGGTTGCTGGCAACTTTTGGCAAAATGTTAGATGATGAATGATGATGATGATGATAGAGATAGATAGATAGACAGACAGACAGACAGACAGACAGACAGACAGACAGACAGACGATGGATGGATGGATGGATAGATAGATAGATAGATAGATACATAGATAGATGATAGATAGATAGATAGATAGATAGATAGATAGATAGATAGATAGACAGACAGACAGACAGACAGACAATGGATGGATGGATGGAGATAGATAGATGATAGAAAGATAGTAGATAGATAGATAGATAGATAGATAGATAGATAGATAGATAGATAGATAGATAGACAGACAGACGATGGATGGATGGGTGGATGGAGATAGATAGATAGATAGATAGATAGATAGATAGATAGATAGATAGATAGATAGATAAAGATAGATGATAGTAGATAGATAGTAGATAGATAGATAGATAGATAGATAGATAGATAGATAGATAGATAGATAGATAGATGATAGATAGACAGACAGATGGACAGACAGACAGATTGATCATAAATAGAAGATGGATGGATAGACAGAGACAGTGTGAAATAACTCACTGATAAATAAGTTAATGTTAGGTTGAATTATATTCAGAAATTGTGAAACATAATCTTTGCTGCAGAATTTTGGCTACATCAGACATAGGTAATTATTTTGATAATTGGGAAAGTGTTATTATTTCAAATATTAAGGTTTGGATTCAGGCCATGTGTAATATATCCATTTAAAAAAAATTAAATATGAATAATACACTGCGTTCTTTGGATACATTGGTACTTACTCCATGGGGACTGGTCTGGAGATTGTTCGCATTCTGATGACTTAGGATCCTTTAACCTTTAAAACTAGGGAAAATAGATTTATATCAATGTTAACTAAGATTTCTAAAATATTAATGTTGATAAGCCTAAGGTTGCTTAGATTTTAGATACCTAAAGCCGAGTGTGGCATCGATAAACAACTGCCAAATAATGATAAATTATTTATTATATGCTAAAGATTTCTATCTGAAGCTTAATACTTAAAACTGAGGTCTCCATGGTATTGTTACTTGTTTTTGCATATTAAAAGGGGGGAAAAAATGAAACTTTCCCTTCGTGTACGCACTGGCAATTTGCAGCATTTATAAAAATAAAGCCCCCATATTAAAAAAAAAAAATAACTTATCCGTTTTTGAAAATAAATTTATTTTCTGCTCTTCCAAAAAAGCTGCAATCTGTTTCCCTTCGCATGGAATTCGTAACGCTGTCTTCTCTTTTGCCTTTGAAATCTTCCTACAGTATACTGTTAAATAATTGAAAGCAAAGTAATAGGCTTCGAATGTTTATACAATTTTTATTTTGTTAGGCAATTTATTTTTCGTCGTTAATTCTGACATTTCTAGTTTGTTCTGTACTTTTGGAAAAAACAAATGTCTACTTTTTTTTAGGCTTGAAATAAAATAAAAGGTTTTTTCTAAAAAAAAAAAACACAGATATACTTCAATTTACGACCGCAATTGACTCTAAAATGTATGCTGCTAAGTGAAACAATTAAGTGACTTTGCCCCATTTTTTTCTTGCCACAGTTAAGTGAATCATTGCATTTGTTAAGTTAGGACCGAAGCTGTTAAATTAGTAAATCCGGTCATTAAGTGAATCTGGCTTCCCCATTGACTTTGTGAGAAGGTCACAAAAGGGGATCGCGTGACCCCGGAATACTGCAACTGTCATAAGTGTGAGTCCGTTGCCAAGTGGCCGAATGTAAATCACGTGACACCAGAACTGTTGTAAGTCGAGGACTACCTGTATAACAACGTTTCTCAGCCTGGGCCATTTTAAGTCCACAAGTCTTTAAAAATTACGAACTTTGGCATTGCCGGCTGGGGAATTCTGGGAGTTGAAGTCCACAACTCTTAAAATTGCCAACTTTGGAGATGTCGGCTGGGGAATTCTGGGAGTTGAAGTCCACAAATCTTTAAAAAATGCCAACTTTGGAGTTGCCAGCTTGGGAATTCTGGGAGTTGAAGTCCACAAGTCTTAAAATTGCCAACTTTGGAGATGTTGGCTGGGGAATTCTGGGAGTTGAAGTCCACAAATCTTTAAAAAATGCCAACTTTGGAATTGCGGCTAGGGAATTCTGGGAGTTGAAGTCCACAAGTCTTTAAAAAATGCCAACTTTGGAGTTGCCGGATGGGGAATTCTGGGAGTTGAAGTCCACAAGTCTTAAAATGGCCAACTTTGGTGTTGCCGGCTGGGGAATTCTGGGAGTTGAAGTCCACAAGTCTTAAAATTGCCAACTTTGGAGTTGCCAGCTGGGGAATTCTGGGAGTTGAAGTCCACAAGTCTTAAAATTGCCAACTTTGGAGATGTTGGCTGGGGAATTCTGGGAGTTGAAATCCACAAATCTTTAAAAAATGCCAACTTTGGAGTTGCCAGCTTGGGAATTCTGGGAGTTGAAGTCCACAAGTCTTTAAAAAATGTCAACTTTGGAGTTGCCGGCTGGGGAATTCTGGGAGTTGAAGTCCATAAACCTTAAAATTGCCAATTTTGGAGTTGCCGGCTGGGGAATTCTGGGAGTTGAAGTCCACAAGTCTTCAAAAGTTGCCAAGTTTGCAGAGCTCTGCTCTAGATTGTCCATAGCAACTTTTAAAAGTTTTTAATGTTTTAAAGTTTTCCTTGCTTTCTCAGAGATTTTTCTCTGTTCCTTCCCCCTCTCGGCAGGCAGCACCATCACACCCAACTACATCGATAACTCGACCGCCAACATTGCACCCTGGTGCACCTGCAACGCCAGCGGGAACCGGCAGGAAGAATGCGAACGCTTCCTGCACCTTTTCACCGACAACCTCTGCCTCCGTAAGTAGGGCCTCTGGCCTCGTGGACCTCCGGTGCCTTTGGGGACAATTAGATGCGAGGGTATTTAGGCCTTGAAAGGAAGCTTCCCTGTTGGTTTGCTTTGCCTGGAAAAAGACTGACAGGGCAAGCCACTTTATAGAGAGGGAACGGGCAAACCTCCCTCCCGTCTAGCACTGATGATGTTACCTAGGTGGGTGATGAAATGTCTGCAAGAAAACTACCAAGCTCAGAGAGCATCAAGAACTCTAAAGTCTTTTTTCCTCCTCCTCTCCTCTCTGTAAACGCTCCCTTTTCTAGCATTGATAATGTTACCTAGCTGGGTAATGAAATGTCTACAAGAAAACAACCCAGCTCAGAGAGCACCAAGGATCCCACGGTCTTTCTCCTCCCCCTCCCTCTCCTCCTCCTCTCCACAAACCTCACTTCCCTCTAGCACTGATAATGTTATGTAGTTGGGTAATGGAACGTCTGCAAAAAAACAACCAAGTTTATAGAACACCAAGGACCCCGCAGTCTTTTTCCTCCTCCCCCTCCTCCTCCTCTTCTTCCTCTTCTTTTTTTCTTCTTCCTTCTTCTCCTCCCTCCTTCTTCTCCTCCTCCTTCTTCCTCTTCTACTATTTCCTCCTCCTCTTCTTCTTCCTCTTCTTCCTCTTCTTCCTCTTTTTTCTTCTTCCTTCTCCTCCTCCCTCCTTCATCTCCTCCTCCTTCTTCCTCTTCTACTATTTCCTCCTTCTCCTCTTCTTCCTCTTCTTCCTCTTCTTCTTTTCTTCTTCTTCTACCTCTATTTCTTCTCCCTCCTTCATCTCTTCCTCCTCCTTCTTCCTCTTCTACTATTTCCTCCTCTCCTCTTCTTCCTCTTCTTCTCTTCTTCTTTTCTTCTTCTTCTACCTCTATTTCTTCCCCTCCTTCATCTCTTCCTCCTCCTTCTTCCTCTTCTACTATTTCCTCTTCCTCCTCCTCTTCTTCTTCTTCCTCTTCTTCTTTTCTTCTTCTTCCTCCTCCTCCTCCCTCCTTCATCTCCTCCTCCTCTTCTTCCTCTTCTACTATTTCCTCTTCTTCCTCTTCTTCCTCTTCTTTTTCTTTTTCTTCCTTCTCCTCCTCCCTCCTTCATCTCCTCCTCCTCTTTCTTCCTCTTCTACTATTTCCTCCTCCTCCTCTTCCACTTCTTCTTCTACCTCTATTTCTTCTCCCTCCTTCATCTCTTCCTCCTCCTCCTTCCTCTTCTACTATTTCCTCCTCCTCCTCTTCTCTTCTTCCTCTTCTTCTTTCTTCTTCTTCCTCCTCCTCCCTCCTTCATCTCCTCCTCCTCCTCCTCTGCTGAAGAGGGGGAGATTTATTGTGAGGCCTGATGCTTCTTTGGAAAGAGCAAAAAACTCCTCGTGCTTCGACAGACGCCCCAACTTCTCCTTGAGGATCAAAGAAGAGAGCCTTGTAAGGGGAGGTGGAGGAGGGTGGAGGGAGGACATCCTCATCCCAGGAGGAAATAAGTCTCCATGTGTCAAAGCCCATCAAGGATGCAAAAAGACTCGGCCTGAAGTCTGGCATCTCAGCATCTTCTCAGGGGCTCATTTTGCCACTGGCTCTCTTTTCTTTTTCTTTTTTTTCTTTTTTTAACGGCTTGCAGTCCACCTTTCCATGAACAGGGGATGGAAGCCACAGGCAGTCCTCGACTTACAACAGTTCATTTAGGACCCTTCAAAGTTACAACAGCATGAAAAAAAGAGAGAAACTTATGACCGTTTTTTCAAATGTACATTTGCAGCAGCCCCACCCCCCACCCCCGTGGTCACGTGATCAAAATTAAGACGCTTGGCCGCTGACTCACATTTATGACAGTTGCAGTGTTCCCTTTTTCTGTGGGAAACGGGTCCAAATGGCTCTTTGAGCCTTTAAGGTTGCAGACCTCTGAGCTAGACCGTTTCAGACAAGTGGCTGTCCTAGTCTCTTCTTGTTGTGAGCCTGGGCTATCGACAGGTGCAGACGCTGAGAGTGAGGGAGAGGAGTTGGCAAGGCCTCCCTCTCCAGGACCCTCCTCTCTGGCAATGCCTCCGGAGGACACCGAAGGCCAAACGATAGGCTCAGAGCCAAGCACGTCCCCGCAGCCACAGGTGGACAGCGACGAAGGAGATAAGTGCTGGCTGGACACTCGGCAAAGGCGCAGGGAGAAGTGTGCGCAGCAGAGGGGAAGGCGTGCCAGAGATTAGCTGAGTCACTGGACCACACCCCACAGGGTATAAATGTGGGTGTGGTGGCCGGTTCAGTTTGTGACGAGCAAAAACTGGAAATAATCCATGATCTCTGCGTTACTGGACTTCTGCCTGCCTTGTCGGACTGCATTTGGACTAATCCTTGTATTGCTGAAACTTTGCCTGCTTTATTGGAATGCTTGCAGTCTAATCTTTGTTTTGTGTGAGTAAAGTCTGAATTGGCAGCTAGCCACTGGGTTGCTGTCAGCTTTATCTCCAAAGAGTTTTGTCGTGTGGCTTGTTAACTCCGGGCCGTCTGTGGGGGGGGTGTGGGGTAGGGGGACAGAACACTTCTTAAAACCCTCCAGTGATGAAGCACCCACAACTTCTGGTGGCGAGCTGTTCCACTGGTTAATTGTCCTCACTGTTAGGGAATTTCTCCTTAATTCCAGGTTGCTTCTCTCCTTGATGAGTTTCCATCCTTCCGTTGCTTCTTGTCCTGCCCTCAGGTGCTTTGCAGAATAGCTTGACCCCTTCTTCTTTGGGGCAACCCCCCAAATACTGGAACACTGCTATCATGTCCCCCCTAGTCCTTCTTTTCTCTAGACTGGCCAAACCCAAATCCTGCAACCGTTCTCCGAAGGTTTTAGTCTCCAGGCCTTTCGATCATCTTCGCTGCTCTTCTTTGCACTTTTACCAAAGTCTCAAACGTCTTTTTTTTTTTTTTTGTAACGTGGTGACCAAAACTGGAAGCGGGACTCCAGGTGTGGTGTTATGGCTGTATATGGCTCTCTCTCTCACACACACACCCCTTCCTCCTCCTCAGAAAATGCCATCCAGGCCTTCGGCAACGGGACGTATCTGAGTGCCGCCACCAGCCCGTCCACCTCGCCCACCACCCAGATGAGAAAGCAGGAGAGGAACACCGACAAAGTGGCTGCCACCCGCCAGGAGAACGTCCTGGAACAGCTGGAACCCACCAAGGTAGGCAAAGGATTCGGGGAAGGGGGAGGCTGCTGCTTTGGGACCGACCGACCGGATGCTTTCAGATCTCCAGCTTCCATCTGGACCCAAAGCTCTGTTTGCTTCTCAAGCCTGGGCTTCTTGTCTGTGCTTGCTTATCACGTGGTGGGAATGGTTGACTTACAACCAACCCTTCCTTTAGTGACTGTCTGAAGTTACTACAACACTGAAAAAAGTGACTTTATCTATCTATCTGCTGTTTATTCTGTCTATATATCTATCATCTATCTACTGATCTTCTATCTATAATCTACCTATCTACCTACCTACATACCTACATACCCATCTATCTATCATCTTATCTATCTATCTCTATATCTATCTATCTATATCTATCTATCTATCTATATCTATCTATCTATCTATCTATCTATCTATCTATCTATCTATCTATCTATCTATCTATCTAGCTCTCTAGCTCTCTAGCTCTCTATATCTATCTATCTATCTCTCTATATCTATCTATCTCTATCTAGCTCTCTAGCTCTCTAGCTCTCTATATCTATCTATCTATCTAGCTCTCTAGCTCTCTATATCTCTCTATCTCTCTATCTCTCTATCTCTATATCTATCTACCTACCCAACCATCCATCCACTCATCCACCTACCTTCATGTCTATGTACCTACCAACCTATCTACATGTCTATCTACATGTCTATGTGCATACCTACCTACCTATGTACCTACTTACCTATCCATCCATCCATCCATCCATCCATCCATCCACCCACCCACCCACCTTATCTATCTGTCTGTCTGTCTGTCTATCATTTATATTTATCTTCTTTCTTTCTATCTATCTATCTATCTATCTATCTATATCTATCTATCTATCTATCATCTACTTACCTACCTACCGTGTTTTCCCAAAAATAAGATCAGGTCTTATATTAATTTTTGCTCCAAAAGACACATTATTGGCTTATTTTCCACTTGGGTCTTATTTTGGGGGGGAAATACAGTACTAAATGCCTCCGTCTGCTGACGATCTTAACTGGGGCTTATTTTTAGGGTAGGGCTTATATTAGTAGCATCCTGGAAAAATCATGCTAGGGCTTATTTTCCAGTTGGGTTTTATTTTGGGGGAAACACAGGGTACCTATTATCAAGTTACATTTACATTCCCAGTTTGAAAGCTTCCTTCCTTCAGCTGCAGGGTTTCTGCGGCCATGACCCTTTTCCTGCCCTTGGGAGAAGCCGGGGGGGGGGGGGTTCTCCGGCCATGATCTCCTGCTCCCCTCCTCTGCAACAGGCGGCTGGCTCCCCAGCCAATGGATGGCTTGTTGGGGAACCTGATTATATCCCTTGTAATCGGCCTCAATTTCCTCCTAATTGCTTTCTAATCCCTATTAAAAGCTGCTTGTGAAAAGTCACATAAACGTCAGGGGGTCTTTTCCGTGGGCAGCATCCCAACAAATAAAATGGAAAACATCAGAGTGTTTGAGCACCCAGCGTCAAAGAACACGGATCTTCCAGTTTCATATATATTCAATATATATATTGCTTCCTTTCGCCTTTCAGTCCCAATCCAGGGGCCCTCAGGCAGTTGCTGTCACGACAAACTATTTTGTGTAAAATAGCATCAGAACTGAAGGCTGCAGCCTATAATTTGGGTGTGGGAGAATTAGCAAACAAGCAAAGTCAGCCAGTGTCAGTTGTCTTGGTTTTAGCTTTCTTTCGAAGGAAGGAAGGAAGGAAGGAAGGAAGGAAGGAAGGAAGGAAGGAAGGAAGGAAGGAAGGAAAATGAGGGGAGGGAGGGAGGAAGATAAAGGAAGGAAGGAAAGAAGGAAGGAAGGAAGGAGACAGGGCAGGAGAGAAGGGAGGGAGGGAGGAAAATCAGGGGAGGAAGGAAGGAAAATGAGGGGAGGGAGGGAGGAAGATAACAAAGGAAGGAAGGAAGGAAGGAAGGAAGGAAGGAGGGAGGGAGGGAGGGAGGGAGGGAGAGGAGGGAGGAAAATCAGTGGAAGAAGGAAGAAAAATGAGGGGAGGAAGGGAGGAAGATAACAAAGGAAGGAAGATGAGGGGAGGGAGGGCGGAACGGATGAAGGAAGGATGGATGGAAGGAAAATGAGGGAGGGAGGGAGGGAGGGAGGAAGAAAAAGAGAAAGAGTAAGAAAATAAATGAGAACGAGAAAGAAAGAAAGAAGGAAGGAAGGAAGGAAAGAAAGAAAGAAAGAAGAAAGAAAGAAAGAAAGAAAGAAAGAAAGAAAGAAAGAAAGAAAGAAAGAAAGAAAGAAAGAAAGAAGTGTACAAACATGGGGTGAGTAAAACCCCTCTTTTCAGTCACAACTCTGTAGCAGGGCTCTTACTAAACCATCCTATATCTGACTGAACCAATTGCAGTGGCCTCTGGGTGGCAGCAAAGAGAAACACCCTCTGCTGCCCTCTGGAGACGGACCATAGTATTACAGCCCAGGTAGGTTGGCGCTGGACAGCATCTTTTGCCTCGTGGCCTCTCTTGGCCTGAGCCCCGGGTCCAAAGGCAGCCCTTCGGTTTCCCCCTCACCCATTCCGACCCTCCTCGCTGGGATGGCGTGATAAAAACTTCCGCCCCAGAAACCTTGCGATTCCCCCCCCCCGGCTTTATTTTATTTCCTTTCCAGCAAACATCGGTTTCATCTCCGGTGCTTCTGTTGCTCTAAAGAAGCTTTTGAAGAGCTCCAAAGCTCTTTTTCTGCTTCTCTTTTTAAATGCATTTTTATTAGAATGTTATTCGCATTTTTCAATACAGTCCGTAGCGCACAAAACAAAATCCAAAAGAGAGAAAGTACAAAAAAAGAAAAGAAAAGAAAAGGGGGGGGAACAAGTGAGGCCTGCTTCCACCTTTGTTTCCAGAGAATAATTGTCAGTCAAATTTAATTATTTCTTGCAACCAAACCACTAACAAACTGTTGAAAGGAACAAGGAAAGGAACCAAACATACGAATCGAGCTAAAAAAGAATAATACGGACTTTTGTTGTCACTATTGTGTGATAGTGTGAGAGACACAGAAACTGTGTCTCTCTAGGAACAAAACAAAACAAAACAAAAGAAAAAAACTCCAACAGACTATTATTTGTCTAAAACTACGTCAGGCATAAAGCTGAAATTTGAACTCCAAGAAGTCCTCAACATACAGCCATAATTTGAGCCCTACAGGTTCTGTTGCTGAGCGAAACATTTGCTCAATTTTAGCCCGTTTTATGACCTCTCTCCTGCCACAGGTGTTAAGGGAATCATGATAGTTGTTAAGTTGGCAACATGGTTGTTAAAGTGAATCTCGCTTCCCCCCTTGACTTTGCTTGTCAGAAGGTGCCACCCTCCTCCTCCTCCTCTCTGCAAACCCCACTCCCTTCTAGCACTGATGACGTTCCCTAGTTGGGTCAAGAAACGTCTGCAAGAAAAGCACCAAGCTCAGAGAGCACCAAGGACCCCACTGTCTTTTTCCTCCTCCTCCTCCTCCTCCTCCTCCTCCTCCTCCTCCCTATAACCTCCCTCTCTCCTACACAGATTATGTTCCCTAGTTGGGCCATGAAACGTCAGCAAGAAGACCACCAAGCTCAGAGAGCACCAAGGACCCCAGAGTTCTCCTCCTCCTCCTCCTCCTCCTCCTTCTCCTCCTCCTCCTCCTCCTCCTCCTCCTCTCCACAGACCCCACTCCCTTCTAGCACTGATGACGTTCCCTAGTTGGGTCATGAAATGTCTGCAAGAGAAGACAACCAAGCTCAGAGAGCACCAAGGACTCCTGATTTCTTCTTGGTCTCCCATCCACGTCCTACCTAAAGCAACCTCTTTCCTTTTTCAACATCAGTCAACATTGCTCAGGGGCGCCACCTGCTGGGGGAGAAAAAAACCCCGCTTTTTATCTGCAAACTCTTCCTCTAGGTCAGTGATGGCTAACCTTTTTGCCATCGTGTGCCAAAAACGGGGGGAGTGCGGGGGGGTCGCACCCACGCGTGTCCACACCCATAATTCAGTGCACCCCGCTCCCCCCACGCAGGCATGCGTGACACCCCTGCGCTCCCCCCGCTTTTGGCACGCAATGGCACGGTGGGCCCAGTAGGCCCGTTTTTCGCCCTCCCCAGGCTCCAGAGGCTTACTTGGAGCCTGGGGAGGGCGAAAACTAGCCTCTCCCATCCCCCCGGAGGCCGGAAATGGCCCGTTTGCTGACTTCCGGTGGGATTGGAAGGCCCATTCTTCGCTCTCCCCAGCCTCCAGAGCCTTTCTAGGAGCCTGGGGAGGGCAAAAATGCCCTTCCCAGCTCCCCCCCAGAGGCCTCCAGAGGCCGGAAATAGCCTTCCAGTGGGCCTGGAAGGCCCAAAAATCAGCTTAGCCATAGGTTCGCGGTCACGGCTCTAGGTTTTACAGATTACAGGTTAACAGAGGTGAGTGGGACCTTGTAGGTCATCTAGTCCAACCCCCCGTCCAAGCAGGAGACCCTACACCATTTCTGACAAATGGCAGTCCAATCTCTTCGTGGTCTTGGTTATTGGTCTCCAATACTCTAAATGTCAGTCTGGTTTGTCCCCTTTTAGGGAACCCCGATTGAGGAAAGGGGTGCAGAAGAAAAGAGCAGATTTCAAGGCCCCCAGCCCCACCCTCCACCACTACTGTTAAGGAATTCGCAGAGTAACCCTTGAGTAGCAAGGGTGTGTACATGAAAGCGATTGAGAGTAGGTACGAATAATCACAGTTAACACAGAGATACACTGAGTTGTGTTTACTTTCAGGAAATAGTAAGGCACAGTCCAATAAACAGTCCAGGTCATACACATATAAAGCAGGAGATAGCAAAATGACAGTCCAGGGATAATCCAATAACAAAGTCTTCTTACCAGTTGTCATAGTCATTCACAATAAACAGTTCTTCTGGATTTGCAAACAGTCGCATACAGAGATACAGAACAGCAAAGAGAAACAAACTAGGTTTCTAGCTCCCTCTTAAGGAGATTGGCCACAGAGCTAACCAATCAGGACACAGTATGATGCAATACAGCAGTCTTAAAGCTATAGTGATGGTTTACATATTGCCAACCCAACAACGTAGATAATAATCATTTCCTAACAACTACCACCCTTTCCTTAAAAAGAGACTCAAAGTTATTTATATTTCTTTATATCTCACACTCCTTAACCACCCATCCAGCTCACAGAGGGGCCTCTGGATGGTATCCAACTGAACCTTAAATGCTGGGATTAAATCCAAATTCGCTGGAGTTGCAGCTCTTCTCCAGGGTATCCTATCTCTGGAAAAAAAAAAACTAAATAAAAACACACACAGGGAGAGGCTTAATCCTCACCATTTCTTGAAAGACCGGCGAACCCCGCCGAGCTTGGCGTGATAAGGATACCCGCCTGTAATGTTGTTGCCGTTAAGGCTTCTCTCCCTCCAGGTGAAATTTGCTAGTCGTATTAAACACCGATCTGGATTTTTTTTTTAAAAAAAAGGCATGAAGCCAATTGCAAGCACTGTCGATTTCAAAGGAGCGATAAAAGCCTTCCTGGTCCCCACCGAGACTCTGGGTGTCGGAGCTCTCTCCCTGCCTGCTTTTCAAGAATAGCAGAAGAAGAGAGTTGGAAGGGACCTTAGAGGTCTTCTAGTCCAACCCCCTGCTCAGGCATAAAACCCTATGCCAGTGATGGCGGACCTATGGCACGGGTGCCACAGGTGGCACGCAGAGCCATATTGGTGGGTACACGAGCTCAGCTCCGGCACACATGTGTGCGTCAGCCAGCTGATTTTCGGGCTCCTGGGCCCACCAGAAATCAGGAAACACACTGTTTCCGGCCTCCGGAGGGCCTCTGGGAGTGTGGGGAAGGCTGTTTTTGCCCTCCCCAGACTCCAGAGCCTTTCCAGAGCAAAAAACGGGTCTACCATCGTGCCATCACGTGCCAAAAGCGGGGGGAGCATGGGGGGGCAGGGCATATAGAATTATGGATGTGGGCATGCGTGGGTGTGACCCCACTGTGCTCCCCCCACTTTTGGCACGCAATGGCAAAAAGGTTAGCCATCACTGCTGCCATCACGTGGGGGCAAAAAGTGGGGGGAGTGGGAGGGGCCACTCACACACGTGCCCACACCCATAATTCTATGCACCCCACCCCCCGCGGATGTGTGTGCAACCTCCTGCACTTCCCCCAACTTTTGGCATGCGTTGGCAAGGTAGGCCCGTTTTTCGCTCTCCCCAGCCTCCAGAGCCTTTCTAGGAGCCTGGGGAGGGCAAAAATGGCCTTCCTTCCCCACTCCCCCGGAGGCCCTCCGGAAGCCAGAAACAGCCTTTTTCCCGACTTCCAGTAGGCCCAAAAGGCCTGAAAATCAGCTGGCCGGCGCGCACAGGCATGCCGAAGCTGAGCTCGCGTGCCCACCGATATGGCCCCACGTGCCACCTGTGGCACGCGTGCCATAGGTTCGCCATCACGGCCCTATGCCATTTCAGAAAAAAAATTTAAAAAAAAAAGTGAGAGGAAGAAACCACAGCCCTCGACTTACGACGGCAATTGAGCCCAGAATGTATGTTGCTAAGCAGGACATTTCTTCAGCGAGATTCGCCCCATTGTACGACCGTTCTTGCCACAGTCGTTAAGGGAATCCCTGCAGCTGTTAACTTAAGGCACCCGGTTGTGAAGTGAATCTGGCCGACCCGTTTCACTTTGCTTTTTCAGAAGGTGGCAAAAGGGGAACACGACACCCGGGGACACTGCAAACGTCATAAATATGAGCCCGTTGCTAAGCGTGCAAATATTGATCACATGACCAGGGGGTGCTGCAATGGTTGTGTAAAAAACGGTCGTAACTCCTTTTGTTCGGTGCCATTATAACTTTGAACTGTCACGAAACGAATTGTCGAGGATTACCTGTCATACTTTCTAACATGCCGGCCCCTCCAGTAGCCGAATCAGAGGAGGAGGAGGAGGCATTGGAGTTAGGCTCAGTGTCAGGGCAACCTGGGAGGTCCGAGGTGGGGAAGAGGGAATGGAGGTGGCAGAGAGAGAGAGAGACGGAGGAGGAGCCTGGGCCGTCCGTCAGTCCTCAGATGGAGAGTCAACAGCCCCCAGGTCCGGAGGTGGCTGATGAGGAAGAGGAGGAACGGCTGGGTCCAGTGCCTGATGCACAGAAGGCAAGAGGAGAGGAGAGCAGTGGAAATCTATGGGCCGGTCCTTGGGACGGAAGAGCCACCGCTGCTAGCTAAGCCCCACCCTGGCTCTGGGGATAAAAGGCAGGGGGCGGAGATGAATAGGTGTGGCAGACAACCATTCGTCTCCCTGCCAGACGGACTTGTTAGCCTGCGGTGAGAGAGCAACTTTTTGCCGGGGCTGCTGGCGCTCCTAATAAAGGAATCATTGAGTTAGCTTCAGAGAGTTGGTCCTGTTTGGGGAGCTAGATGAGAACCAGGGCTGGGTTCTAAATTTTTTTACTACCGGTTCTGTGGGCGTGGCTTATTTTGTGGGCATGGTTTGATGGTCATGTGACAATTCTTTAGGATTTAGCAGAGGTACTGGTCTACCAGGCTTTTAACTGCTTGCAGAGCTGTACCGGTCTACTCATTTGTTCTTGGAGCGTACTGGTCTACCCATTTTTTTATTTTTGGGGGGGCAGCGTTCCGGTCTACCCATTTGTTTTTGCAGGCACCGGTCTACTCATTTGTTTAGGCACCGGTCTACTCATTTATTTTTGCAGGCATCGGTCTACTCATTTGTTTTTGGAGGCACCAGTCTACCACCACACTGCCTTTTAACACTGATCAGCTGTAGGGCGGCCCTTTGAAGCCCCGGGCAAGAGTTTAAACAGTTTTTTTCCTTATAGCCGATCAGCTGGGACTTGAGAGGCAGTACATAGATTGGGGGCGGGGCCAAATAAAAGGTAAGAATAATGCAGGGGGGGGAGGGCCCAGCTCCTGAACAAAGAGAACCGGTTCGGTGACATCATATCGTCACCGCTACCGGCTCGGCCGAACCGGGCCGAACCGGGAGGAACCCACCACTGGTGAGAATACCTTTCTTCTGAACTTCCCTCCTGTCCCTCCTGTTCTTGATCTGGGCTCAATCCTTCACCACCAGGGGAACCCGGCATGTCCCATCTCTTCACCTTTTCCATTACTCTTGTTGTCGTTCTAGGTGTCCGCAGAAGAGAAGCTGTTGCACGACGCATCTCACCTTGGAGCTGGAGCCTCGGACGCTGCCCTGGCGCTGACCGTTGACCTCTGGATGATGGTGTGGAGCTCCACGGCCACCAGTACTGTCCTCCTGATGGCCATGTGAACCAGCCTGAGGCCTTGCTCAAGACCGCCCACCAACCGAGGAGCTACTCGGGTCTTCTATTTTCCAACTTGGGACTCAGGAAGGTGGTCGCACCCAAAACCACCATCCTCCGCGTGGACTTTGTAGTAAGAGAAGAGGACAAAACAAAACAAAACAAAAAAGAAACTCATCCCATGAGCTTGTCTCTGAATATCTTTCTGGAGAGCAAGGATGGTTCTCCAGCGAAAGAGTCAACCATGAATGTCTTCAAGAACTTCTGCGCACTTCATCATCGACGTGAAGTCGCAGACAGGAACCAATTCACACAAGCGTCTTTTTCTTCATCTTTGACCAGTGAGTCAAAGCTGCCTTTTCTTTCTTCTTCTTCTTCTTCTTTTTCTGGTGCAATGAAGCCCTCTTGCTTGAGAATGAGAAGCTCTTGATGTCTTCTGGGAAAACCTTCCGAAACCAGGTGGAGATCCAAGTTCTCCATGCTTGGCGTGAGATGATTGCTCTGCCACCCCAAACCAATGTGATGTGTGGTATCAAAATTGTGCCCAGCCCCCTTATTTTTCAAATGGTTTTAATGAAGTCGAGCAAGGCCCGACCCCCCACCCCACCCCACGCCCCCAGAGTGTCTACACAACCCAACGAGAAGAACCTTCCAGCCACAGTGATCTGGTGAGAACCAGAAAGTAGGGAGATGTGTTTTGAGAGGTGGTCTTGGGTGGGATCTTTGCTGGAAGATGGAAATTGTCCACTCTTCTTATGGGCAATGCATCGCTTGGGTTCGGTTGAGGTTCTTCACCAAGGGAGCTTTGTACAGGAACTGGAAATTCTCCTACGGGGTTGACGTGTGGTGTGTCTTTCCGGGGACATCTTCTGATTCTCCCCGGTCCATTCTCAGCGTGGGTAGAAATCTCAAAAGCGTGTGTGGGATGGACATCTCACCCATAGGTCTCCATGAAATGAACATCTCACACTTAGATCTCCACGAGATGGACGTCTCACACTTAGGTTTCAAAATTGGGGGAGGGGGGAGGTGTTTTCAAAAGCAAACCCATCACTGTTGGTGCCTCCGAGTCTTGGCCATCCAATCTACGATGGTAGCAACCTGGATTTCAAAGCCGAATTGTGTTTCTCGACCGAAATCACCACTCCGTTCAGCCTGAGTTGATTTCCCGGAGAAGGTCGGTGCTTTGAGCCGAGGCTAAATGATTAAACGAGAACAGATGGTCTATCTGGATTGATCCCTGCCAATTTCACAGCCCCTGCTCACCCCTCGACCTCACCAGGAGGCACCGAAAGCAGCACCAACCGAGAGCTTCGTAATAAGCGGCTTTCCATCCTGTCTCAATCACGGCAATGATGGATGAGCGTCATGATGTCCCACCACCACGTTCAGACCATAATTAATCCCAGCTTGGAGCTATCCGGCCTTTGAAACCGAGAGGGGATTTGAGGTTGTACGGTTGGGGTGGGTGGGGGTGGGGGTGGGGGTCCTTCTGCGGCTCCGGGGAAATCGTTCTGACCCTCCAGGACTCTGCAGCAGGGCGCCAGGTCCTGCTAAAAAGGGTGAAAAATCGAACGTGCCTCGGAAACGTTGCAGACACCGCAACTGTGCCACACGGCGTGCGTACCCTGGCAATCGGAGGCGGCCGTGGCAAGGTTGGATGTGACCGCTGGGGTTCATAGGAAGGAAAACGGCCCCCACTTCGCCTTTCGCTCTATCGTTCGGTGCTCCGTGCACAACGTCAGAATTCCACCACCGAAGCAAGAAATATTCATTTTGCATTATTTTGTACTAATCTTGCTGGTCTGTTCAAGCATTCCAGGTGAATTGGGGGGTGGCAGGAGGTATCCCCAGCAAAATGGGGCCAGGTTATAGTAGTCCCACCTTGCCACAAGAAGATGCTCCTTTAGAGGCCTCGATTGTGACTCCGCTACGGCACCACACACTCGCCAAAGGTTGCCATCAACCAATTTTATTAACACTCACAGGCCACCGTTGCAAATAAAAGCATTAAAATCCATAATAAACAGACAATATAATATGATTAGCGGTGGATTATCAGCGGGCAGTTAGAGTCGGCCCAATTTTATATACAGCGCAGGTAGTCCTCGATTTACGACCACCATCGAGGCCCAAAATTCCTCTGGCTAAGCAAGAGATTTTTTAAGCGAGCTTTGCCCCCCATTTTGGTGACCTTTCTTTCCACCGTCGCTAAGTGAAACACTGCAGCTGTTAAGTTAGGAACACGTTTGTTAAATGAATCGGGCTTCCCCGTTGAGTTTGTTCGTCCAAAGGTCACAAAGAGGGATCGTGTGACACCCCCACCCCCGGGACCGTCATAAATATGAGTCCGTTGCGGTGGGAATGCTGCAAGTGTGAAAAACAGCCATAAGTCACAGGGCTGTTGCTACTTTCAACGGTCACTAAACGGAACCGTTGTAAATCGAGGATTACCTTTTATTTGGGTTCAGTCGCGATTTGTGTTACGGTGGGCATTTTTCTCAGCAAAAACGGAAGGCTGGCTGTGAAATTTTTTCCCCGCGTTGCCGCATTTCCAGAATTCTTAGCAATTTCTGCGTTTGTTTTTTTTCTCCAAAGAAGCAAAGAAATTATGAAATGGCCCGTATAAGATATGACAAGGAGATTTTGGAGAATTCAAGGGCATTTGGTCGATTTAGCTTCTCTTAGAATGATGTTTTTTTTTCAAGCATGGTCACTTTAAGACGTGTGGACTTCAACTCCCAGAATTCCCCAGCCAGCCATGGCTGGCTCGGGAATTCTGGGAGTTGAAGTCCACACGTCTTAAAGTGACCAAGCTTTAAAAAAAAAATCCTTTTAAAATGACCAAGATTGAAAAACTCTTCTGTCAAATATCTCTCCTATATTTTTTCCAAATCTTCAGGCACTGGACATGTTAAATCCATTTCCTTGCACCCAAAACCACCCCATTTTCGTGCACAAAAAGTATTCCACAATTCGACCCAATTTTTTGCATTGTAGTGCACGAGATGGAGGAATGTATTCCTTAAAATAAAAAAAGAACCCAGATCAGAATGAGTTTAGAGAAAACCTAACCAATAAATAAAAAAATTACTCCCCAAAATAACTAAAAGTAACCCCAAACTTGGAACAAATGTAACACGGACTAACTATTATCCTTCATGTCTATAATTGTTTTGTTTTTTTAAATCTTATCCAAAGTTAAACGTGCGAAGTAGCAAATATTCTGGTGTTGTTGTTTTTTTTTTAATAGCGCGCCATCTAATCAAATGAATAAAATCCAAAGCTTTTATGTATCGTATCTTTTAATAATAAGCTCCATCAAATCCGCAGTTTTATTCTCTGGGGAATCACACGCATTCACTCTCTCTTGAAACGTTGGTGCAAAACCAACATTTCCTTAATAATGGATTAAAATTCACAAACACCGATCCTATTAACAATACATTTCTTTAATGTGGCGCGGCTTCGTACTAATTAAAAAGGAAATTGATATCTCTACACATTTTTAATAGCCAATAACATCATCCTTGTTGCTCCTTCGCATGTTAAAAGCAATCCATCCAGTTTTACCATTATATATGGGTAGTCCTCAATTTACGACCACCACTGAGCCCAACCTTTCCGTTGTTAAGTGGGACATTTGTTCGGTGAGTTGTGCCACGTTTTACTACCTTTCTTGCCGCCGTCGTTAAGTGAATCACTTAACGTAAGGATTTGCTTCTGGTTTTGCAGCAAAAATCACCCCTTAGTGAACCATGGGTTCATTTAATGACTGTGCATTTGCTTAATGACCACCGTGGTTGCATTTGCTTTATTGCCATTGCAAGGATGTTTGTCAAATCAGGTGCGGTCGCACGATGGCCCATTTTTGGATGGCTGTGACTGACGACCAAAATTGCAGACTCACTCACGGTCGTAATTCGAGGACTACCTGTAGTTTTTCAGGAGCAAGGAGGATTCTGCTCCAAGGGTTCCTTTTCTGTATAAGAGGCGACACTGCAGAGATAATCATATAATGATCGTCCTTTATTATAAAGGACAGTCCTTTATTTTTCAAAATTCATTTTGGTTCTTCTTCTTTTATCATTCATGGAAATTGAATTGTGTTTTTCAAATAAATTGTACAATCGATATAAATGCAGTACTGTTTGATCTTAGATATTATTTTAGTAGAATTTGCTTTTTTTCTTGAGTTTTGCTCCTGGATTTCCCTTTGTAAAACAAAGGTTAAGGCGCCAGGCCAGAAACTAGGAGACCGGGAGTTCTAGTCCTGCCTTGGGCATGAAAGCTGGCTGGGTGATTTTGGCCCAATCACAGGAGACTGGGAGTTCTAGTCCCACCTTAGGCAGGAAAGATGACTGGGTGACTTTGGGCCAATCACCAGGAGATGGTGAGTTCTAGTCCCGCCTTAGGCAGGAAAGATGACTGGGTGACTTTAGGCCAATCACCAGGAGATGGTGAGTTCTAGTCCCGCCTTAGGCAGGAAAGATGACTGGGTGACTTTGGGCCAATCACCAGGAGATGGTGAGTTCTAGTCCCGCCTTAGGCAGGAAAGATGACTGGGTGACTTTGGGCCAATCACCAGGAGATGGTGAGTTCTAGTCCCGCCTTAGGCAGGAAAGATGACTGGGTGACTTTGGGCCAATCACCAGGAGATGGTGAGTTCTAGTCCCGCCTTAGGCAGGAAAGATGACTGGGTGACTTTGGGCCAATCACCAGGGGATGGGAGTTCTAGTCTCACCTTAGGCAGGAAAGATGACTGGGTGACTTTGGGCCAATCACCAGGGGACTGGGAGTTCTAGTCCCACCTTAGGCAGGAACGTGCTGCGTGACTTTGGGCCAATCACCAGGGGACTGGGAGTTCTAGTCTCACCTTAGGCAGGAAAGATGACTGGGTGACTTTGGGCCAATCACCAGGGGACTGGGAGTTCTAGTCCCACCTTAGGCAGGAAAAGATGACTGGGTGACTTTGGGCCAATCACCAGGGGACTGGGAGTTCTAGTCTCACCTTAGGCAGGAAAGATGACTGGGTGACTTTGGCCAATCACCAGGAGACGGTGAGTTCTAGTCTCACCTTAGGCAGGAAAGATGACTGGGTGACTTTGGGCCAATCACCAGGGGACTGGGAGTTCTAGTCTCACCTTAGGCAGGAAAGATGACTGGGTGACTTTGGGCCAATCACCAGGGGACTGGGAGTTCTAGTCCCACCTTAGGCAGGAACGTGGCTGCGGGACTTTAGGCTAATCAACCTCTCCTAGTCCAGTCCACCTCAAAGGGTTGTTGTTGCAGGAAAAATAGGAAGAGAGAAAGTATATATGCTCACTGCCTTGTGTTAATTATAAAGTGGTAACTATAAAGTCATAATAAAGCATAAAAGGCAGGATAGACATCTAACGAATGAATACAATCATAATTTTATTTTATCCTCACGAACCTCTTTCAGATTTGCAACTTGTTCACATGAGTGCTTTATTTATTCCATGAAAATACGGTTGCTTTGCACATGGGGAGGAAACCCACTGCTTGGGGGTTTTTTTACACTGGCCCCATGGCCTTAAAAGAAGTTTAAGCAGGGGTTAACAACTTAAACTGGCTGGGGAATTCTGGGAGTTGAAGTCCACAGATCTTAAAAGTTGCCAAGGTTGGACACCAGAACTGGTATTCAGCCGGTTCGGGTGAAATTGGTAGGCCATCCTATTTAGCACATTTCAAAACGCATGAACGGAAGGCCACACACCTGCGCGGAAGGCGCCCGCGCACTCACGTTTTCGGTGCGCGGTGAACCGGTGGTAAAACTATATGAAATCCACCCCCGTTGGACACCCCCCACCTTAAATCTTCCAGGTTTGATGAAAAATCACAAATTAAGCCTGTCTCGATTCCTTGGGGCCAAAATTCCGATTCAGCTCTTAAGAAATAAGGGAAACTGAGACATAATTAGTGGCGTGGAGTTCGTGGAGCAAAGCGGTTTATAAATCTTGACCAACCACGAAATGAAACGATGCCTCCAAAGAGGGTTTGAACCCGCCCCCTCCGTCGTTGAAATGGTGCTGCATCCCCATATCCGGATTATCGTCCTCCGTCCCTTTCCAGCATCCCAGACTTAATTTCATAGCGTCCGTCAAACTGACGAGGCCTTGCCACATCGGAGTAACCGTGTTCACACAACCGGCTTAACCCGGTTACTGAATCTTGGAGCTTTGCCCAACGTTTGGAATCCACGAGCCGCGTTCTCTCACCATCGACGAAGAGCCGAGAAGGCCGATTGCAGGGTTGCAACGAACCCTGAAGCACGCAGAGGTCGCTGGCTGTGTCCCTAACCTGGTTAAGGAGGTTGTGTGAATAGGGCAAGTCTCTTCCCCTTCCTCGTTGGATGCAAGGAATTCAGGCGAATGCTTCGAGAAGAGTCTTGGTCGCAAATGGCAGCCTTTCTTGCACTCTTCCCACGTTTATGTC